TCAGCAGGATTATTTAGATCATTATTTAGATACAGCAGAGAGAGTCAAAAAATTAAGGATCTATAAAACTGAAATCATCAGTTTAAAAATAACTTGAATTAAGAATTGGCAACTGGCCCAGCCACTGTGGCACAGTTGGTAGTCTACTAGACTGTGAAACTGGAAGCCATGTGCTGACTGTGGTTTGAGTCCCTGGCCTGGTCAGCTTCAAAACATGCCAGATATGTGCGTATATGCTTAGGATCCTGGTTGGCCGGAAGACTGAAGGAAGAAGATTATGGCGTGACCAAGCCCTGTGGAGGATGCTTTTTTTTTCTCCTGTGTGCATGCATACAGCTCTGTCATGACTTAAAAAAAAGAAAGAAGGGACCAGCAGTTAGCGTAATGGCTATGTTGCTGGACTCCCATGTAGTTGACCGCCCCGTGGCTTAGACTCACACCAGAAGCATGTGCACACGTGTGCGCCCAAGATCCCGAGAGGAGAATGGAGGAGAAGGGATTGCAGCGTGACCATGTCTTTCTGGCGAGCACATGTGCCCTGTAGCAAAAACCTCTCCAAAAAAAGAAAAGAAAAGAAAGAAAGAGAATCAGCTACCTTTTTGATTACTTACTACCTTTTTGATCATCTCAAGAAACTGAGGACCATCTCTATGAATTTTAATGTAAGGAAGTAAGCAAAAGTGAGTGTGTCTGCTAGCTTTTAGCATAGCAGTAACTTTGCTTTTGTATTGAACTACTTATAGAGAAATATGCTATAGAGATATACTTTGGAATTATTAGCATGTCATTTTTTATTTTAATTAAGATTCTTGTGTCATTTTAAAAAGAAAGAGGTAAGAGATACTTAATTCTACTGCTAATGTTTACCAGATTATTTTCATAGGAATCATTTTTCAGTAATATATTTTAAAATAAAGTAAAATAAAATAATAATTAAAGGTACCTTTTCCCTCTAAAGTTACATACTTTTTAGTTACATTTAATGCATCAAACATATACTTAGTAATATTAAAATGAATATCTAATGAAAATACCCATGACACATTTTTGGAGTTATTTTGTCTTTTCCAGAATTTCCCAATGAGGAAAGTGCCCTGTAAGAAAGATGCTGCATCTGGTTCATTCTTTGCCCGAGACAATACTGCAAATTTCCTTCACTGGTGTAGGCACATTGGGGTTGATGAAACTTACCTCTTTGAATCCGAAGGTTTAGGTAAGTATTGTCATTGTTGTTTTCAATGTCTGTTAGGATATTTTTGTATCTCTCCCATCTAATTTTTCTTTCCAAAGGAGGACTCTCAAATGCCACCTCTCATTTTTCTAGAAAAATTTACTCTCTAAGCATACGTAAGACAATTGGAGAGTTGAATACTAAATCAACTATAACTATTAAGTTATAGTTAAATGAAAAACTTAATTGAGTTATATTAAGCACTGTTCATGTATGAACTCATTTAACTCAAAATGCTCTAAAAATAGTTTACTTCCTGGCTCAATTTTGGTGGCACAGTCAGTAGTGTACAGAAATGTGGTGCTGGAAGCCACATGGTGAGCCATGGGTTTGGATCCCCAGTCAACCTGATAACATGCCAGATGCACACACATCCAAGATCTTGATGAGCTGGGAAGGCTGTGGGAAGAGGATTGTGACATACAAGGTGCCGTTAAGGGTGCCTCTCTCTCTCTTTCATGATTGCACATGTGTTCACTAATGAACAGAATAAATAAAATTTAAAAAGTGTATTTTGCTTCCTAAATAAGATGGCTACACGGAAGTTCTAGACTAATGCTCTATGAATTAACTCTTTCATAAAGAATTATTCTACCAAGTCTAAATTACTATTGTTAGTAATTTCTCTTTAACCAGAAAATTACAGAAATAACAGAAGGCCAAATGATGTGTGCTCGTAGTGTTTAGATTTACCTTGTAAACAACAGCTGCCAACTTGATTAGCTAAGTGGATCAATGTCTTTGACAGTTCACTTAAAAAAGGCATGCTCTGCTAAAGAATTATTGACATATTTTCTCATTTCCTTTAAGTCAACAGAAGCATCTGTACAGTGATAGCGTATAGTAGCTATTTGACTAAATTTTAGATTATAAATATATTTTTAAAAGCTTTTATAAATGTGTATCCTTATTTGTGTGTAAACATATCTCAGTACTGATCACTGTGGACAATGGAGTTGATTTAGTGACACCTCCATCTTTTAGAGATCTAAGGGAAGAGAAACTGCTATGAATTCTCTACAGTTTACTGTTTCTGACAGGCTAGGAGATTATTGTACATTTCTCATTCTCAGTAGAAGGCATCTTCTGACTGAACTTAGTCTGAGTAGAACTAAATAAAGGACTGTCAATACCAGTAATTCATTTCTAGTCATTGCACTGATGGGCTAATGTTCTTACTCTCCAAAGGTCTCAGAGATGAGCCTCTTAACTTTTTCCCTTTTGCTATGAACTCAAAGCAATTTTAAAACACAACTATACAATTTGACGCTATTTGTAAGTATTTGGAGAAATAGGCTTAATAAAAAATTTAGGAAAAATCCTTTTCTTGGTTTGAATTTTAAATTCAAATATAACCTTTTTTATTCCTTTGAAAGAGCATATCTTGTCATTTGGGAATATCATAGATGCTACTCATGAATCAAAGAACAACTGCCATTTCTATTGGAGGAGTCAGCATATGTGTAATTCATCACACGTTGTGCATTATTAGGTTAGGATTAGCAGGTTTCCCAGAGTTGTAACTCCAAAGACCAGAATAGAAGGTAGGTAGATAGTCCACAAGTATGTATCAAAGCATTTGGCATGAGTTCTGTGATAAGGGCTCCCCCCCACCTCCAGCAGGTCTCTATTCACTTTTATATTTTTGTTCTTTTAAAATGGTTTTTATTTTTAAAAAGTACGTAGAACATTTACCATATTAACTTTTTTTTTGAGAGAGAGATTTTTTTGCTATAGGGCATGCACGCTCACTGGAGAGACAGACAGAAAACAAGAAATTCCCCCTCGTCCTGAGAGGGGAGGATAGCCACACCAGACAGAGTCCCTTCTCCTCCATTCTCCTCTTGGGATCTTGGGAATGCATGTACATGTGTCTGGCATGAGCTTTATGTCACCAGTTCTGGGACTCGAACCATGGTCAACCACATGGGAGTCCAGCAACATAACCATTACACCATCTGCTGGTTCCTCATCTTAACCATTTTTAAGTGTAGCAGGCTCCTTTATGTGTTGGAGAGGTAATTCTTTTTTTTTTTTTTTGGAGAGGTTTTTGCTATAGGGTGTGTATGCTCACCAGAAAGACAGAGAGACAGCAAGAAATCACCTCCCCGAGGGGGGATGGCCACGCCACACTCGCTTCTCCTCCATTGCCCTCTCGGGATCTTGGGCACACACGCACATGTGCCTGGCGTGAGTTTAAGCCACTGGATCTGAGACTCAAACCGTGGTCGACTGCATGGGAATCCAGCTACATAGCCATGCTAACTGCTGGTCGTCCCGGAGAGGTAATTCTTTTCAGTCAGGGTTTGCTATGTCATGTCCCTCTTGCTTCAGTCTCGGTAGTAGCTGGGCTACAGGACCAGCTTTTAGGATGGGCCAGGAATTGAACCTGGGCCTTCCACACAGTCTTACTCTGCTAAGCCGCATTGTCCAGTGTGTGCCACCATGGCTAGGTCTAGATTCTGATTTTTAAATAGCATTTTTTAAAATTGAGATATGCTTCACATAACATAAAATTTATAACTTTAAAATGTACATAATGGTTTTTAGTGTAATTACTATGTTATACAATCATCATCACTATTTAGTTCCAGAACATTTCAATCATCCCCACTAAAAATCCCCCATACCTGTTTGACTTAGTACGAATTATTTTCTTTTTCCATGCCATTGACAAACACTAATATACTTCCTATCTATGGATTTTTCCCGTTCTCGACATTTCCTATAACTAGAATACTATGTAGCTTTATGTGTCTTCTGACTTCTTTCACTTTGCATAATGATTTATTCATGTAATATATTCATTCCTTTTTATGACTGAATAATATTCTATTGTATCAATGTACTACATTTGTCATACATTCTTCAGCTAGTGGACATTTTGATTATTTTAAGGTTTTGGCTATTATGAACAATGCTGCCATGAGCATTTATGTACAAGTGTTTGAGTGAACATATGTTTTTAATTCTCTCAGGGATATACCTAGGAGTGAAATTGCTGGGTCATATGGTAATTTTATGTTTGTTTGTTTGTTTGTTTGAGGAGTCACCAAACTGATCTCCCTGTGGCTGTACCCTTTTATATTTTTACCAGCAATGCACAAAGGTTTTAATTTGCCCACATCCTTATCAAACTAAAGTTTTAAATTTTGTGAAGTTTATCTGTTTGGTTTGTTTCCTTGTGCTTTTGATGTCATATCTAAGAAATTATTTCCTAATTTAGATCATCCAAAGTCTTACCTATGTTTTTCTAAGAGTTTTATAGTTTTAGCTCTTACATTTAAGTTGGTTTTTTTTTTTTTTTTTTGGAGAGATTTTCACTGTAGGGCGCATGCGCTCGCCAGACAGACAGAGAGAGACATAGAGACAGAAAGCGAGAAATCACCCCCCAGGGGGGATGGTCACGCCGCAATCCCTTCTCCTCCATTCTCCTCTCGGGATCTTGGGCACACACGCACACGCGCCTGGCGTGAGTTTTAAGCCACCGGGTCCGGGACACGAACCGCGGTCGACTACGTGGGAGTCCAGCGACATAGCCATTACGCTAACTGCTGGTTCCCACATTTAAGTTGTTGATCCATTTTGAATTAATCTTTTTTTGTATGTGGAGTGAAGTAGAGTTCAAAATTCATTCTTTCGTGTCTAGATGTCCAATCATCCCAACAATCATTTATTGAAAAGACTGTTCTGTCTTCATTAAATTTTCTTGGCACCCTTATTGAACATGATTGAACATAGAACAGATGGGTTTATCTCTGGACGAGCAGTTCCATTCCCGTTGGTCAGCTTGTCTATTATTATGTCAATAATACACTGTCTTGATTACTGCAGCTTATTCAGATACTGCTCACTTAATGACGTGCCTGTTTAAACTACTCAGACTTATGACCCAGTTCTCCAGTGCAGGGAATTCTCTTTCCCAGGCTGTGTGATCTTGGAAATCTCCTTTATCAGGCTTTGTCTTGTTCCCATAGTTGGTTCGTATTCACTACATGGAGTATTCGCAGTCTCACAAGACTACGTATTTCATTTATAAATCTGTACTTTATTGTGTACCTACAGTAGTATTCAGAATAAATAAACAATAATTACATCACATTTATATTACTGTGTTGTGGTATGTCTTATCACTTTCTGGTGCTTATCTAAGGTATGCTTTTTCATATGGATAGAATTACGTTATTCTACTGTGTTGTCACATAAGATCTATTGAAAGGTTCATACTCTATGACTCCGTGACACACCACAAGACACCCACTTTTAGGCTTTTCACTTATCGACCTACTTGTAGGAATGGAACTCAGTCTTTAAGTGTGAAGTGCCTGTAGTAAGTTTTGCAATTGGCAAGTGTGAGTTCTTCAACTTTATTCTTCTTTTTCAAGATGAGCTAGTCTGTAACTTTGCAATACCGGATTAATTTCATGATTGGCTTGTCCATTTCTGGAAAAAAAAAGGAGGATACTGGAATTTTGATATAAATTACATTGAATTTATAGGTCGATTTGGGAAATGTTGCCATTTTAACAATTTAATTTATTTATTTCTCCTCCATTCTTTTCTTGGAATTTTGGGCACACACACACACACACACACATATACACACACACATCCAGCATGAATTGTATGCTGCTAGGTCTGGGACTCGAACTACACAGTTGACTACATAGGAATCCAGCAATATAATCATTATACTATCTGCTGGTCTCTGACAACATTATTTTTTAATCCATGCACGTGGGATGACTTTTTATTGATTTATATCCTCTTTTTAATCTCTTTCAACAATATTTTATAGTTTTCAGTGTACAAGTCTCATACTTCTTTGATTAAATTTATCTCTAAGTATTTTTTTCTTTCTGAAGCTATTGTAAGTAGAATAGTTTCCTTAATTTCATTTTATATTGTTAAGTGCTAGCTAGGTAGTTAAGTTTTTATGTATTGATGTTGTATCCTGTATTTTGCTGAACTTGCTTATTAATTGTTTTTTGAAGAGATTTTTGGGGGGACTAACAGCATAATGGTTATGTCACTGGACTGCTGTGTAGTTGACTATAGTTCGAGTCCCAGACTTGGCTTGAACTCATGTCGGGCATGTGTGCATGCGTGCCCAAGATCCTGAGAGAAGAATGGAGAAGAAGGGATTGCGGTGTGGTCATCTTCCCTGGAGGGTGATTGCTCGCTTTCTGTCTCTCTGTCTCTCTCAGTCTTTCTGGCGAATGCACGTGCCCTATAGGAAAAACCTCTCCAAAAAAAAAGAAAAAAAGAGAGAGAGATTTTTTTTGGTATTGGCCATATGCATTCATTCACCAGACAGAGAGATAGAAAATGAGAATTTATCCCCCAGGAGGATGGCCAGTACACAATCCCTTTTCCTCCATTTTCTGCTCGGGATCTTGGACACACATGCTCACTCGCTCAGCATGAGCTTTAAGCCACCAGGTCCGGCACTTGAACTGCAGTCAACTTTGTGGAAGTCCAGGAATGTAACCATCATGCCACCTGCTGGTCCCTTGCTTATTAATTCTAATAGGTTTTGGGAGATTTTGAGTTTTTTGGGGTAGATTTTAAGGATTTTTTTTTTCTTTTTTTGGAGAGGTTTTTGCTATAGGGTGCATGTGCTCGCCAGCCAGACAGAGAGAAAGAGACAGAAAGCAAGAAATCACCCCCCAGGGGGGATGACCACGCCACAATCCCTTCTCTATTCTCCTCTCAGGATCTTGGGCACACACACACGCACCCAGCGTGAGTTTAAGCCTCCGACCGGGTCCTGGATTCGAACCGCAGTCGACTACGTGGGAGTCCAGCAACATAGCCATTACGCTAACTGATGGTCCCAGGATTTTCTATGCATAGGATTGTCATCTGTGAAAAGAGAGAGGTTTCCTTCCAATCTGGGTACCTTTTAATTATTTATTTTTTGCCTAAATGTCATGACCAGAACCTCAGTACAATGCTGCATATAAGTACTAAGAGTAGAGATTCTTATTTTTCCCTGGTCTTGGGAAGACTCAGTCTTTTAAGAATGACATTAGCTGTGGATTTTTCTAAGATGCTTTATATCAGATAAAAAAAATTTTGTTTCTTCTTTTTTAAAGGTATGGTCTCACTATGTGTGTTCCTTCTACCGCAGCTTCCCAGCTGGTACTGCAGTTGTGTGCCATTATGCCTGCCTTTCTTTTAGAAAGGGTCTTGTTATGGCCAGCCTCTAGTTTGCGACCCATCTGCCTCACACCCACCGAGTCACTGGGACAGGTGCTAGCCACCATACCATGCCTTTAGGTTGATAGTCCCAGCAGGTTGGACAGGGAATTGAACTCCAGGACTGCTTCGCGGTCCCAGCTGTTGGATCCCAGCGTCTTAGCAGCGTGTACCAGCACGGTTGGTACAAGGAATACTCCATTTATTCCTAGTTTGACTTTTTTTTGTTTTGGAGAGGTTTTTGCTATAGGCATGTGCCCTCGCCAGAAAGACGAGAGACAGAGAGACAGAAAGTGAGAAATCACCCCCGGGGGGGATGACCATGCTGCAGTCCCTTCTCCTCCATTCTCCTCTCGGAACCTTGGGCACGCATGCACCCGCGCCCGGCATGAGTTTAAGCCACCGGGTCCGGGACTCAAACCACGATCGGCTACATGGGAGTTCAGTGACATAGCTATTACGCTAACTGCTGGTCCTCTAGTTTGACTTTTTATCTTAATCATGAAAGGGTGTTTTTAGTCAAATAATTTTTTTTCTTTCTTTTTGGATAATTGCATTGATTTTATTTTACTAATTGTCTATTACATTGGTTGATTTTCATATATTGGAAATCATTCAACTTTGCATTCCCAGCATAAATCCCACTTGGTCATGGTGTATCTTACGTATGCTGCTGGATTTGGTTTGCTAGTATTCGTTGAAGATTTTTATGTCGATATTCTTAAAGGATATTGATCTTTAGTTTTCTTATAACGTCTTAGTCTGGTTTTGGTTTCAGAATAATGCCGGCATTATAGAATGAGTTAGGAAGTACTTCTTCCTCTTTAAATTTTTAAGAGCTGGAGAAAAATATTAGCACAAAGTCCTGTGCTAAGGACAGTTTAGAGTAAATTGAAGTGATACATCTCTTCTAATAGTACCTTCCGTTGAGGGACCTGAAGCATAAATAATTTAATGCTACGACGCCTTTAGTTTTTAAGACTTCAAATGCTATATAAATAAGGGCCCATGGTAAATTTTCATCCTTTTCTTGTTAGTCACATTTTCAAACAATAATTTATGGAAAATAGTAATAGAGAAAATTAAAATGTCTTTTCTAAATCTCCAAACAAGTAAGCCCACTGTCTTCAGTGTTCTTTTCTTTTACTCTCTTCTACATTAGAAATATTGCCCTGTTTAATTCTGCTCCTTAAAATATGTGGTCTTATTTTCCACAGTTTTGCACAAAGATCCAAGACAGGTATATCTTTGCCTTCTTGAAATTGGTCGAATTGTGTCGAGGTATGTATCACACAATATTTCAGAATTTCAATGTCATAAACATCTCTCTGGCTACTTAGTTGTAGTTTAGAACACTATTTTCTATAAGTAAAAGAAAATAATTCCTAATTTTTTATTTTATCTTTGTTTTTGTTTCTTTATTAACTTTTTGTTTATTAACTCGTGCAGACTATCTGCATGAACATATTTAAATATCTGCTTTCTCGGTATAGCTTACCTTCATTTAGTATTAAACTGAAAGTGCCTACTTACAATTTTTAGGCTAAGAATAGGATAAGAGCATGTAGTCTTAAAGCAGTTGAAGGCTGAACAAGTCTTTTGAATACAGAGAGGATCTGGTAAGAAGGCCTGGTGTCTCCCATACCTACTTCAGTTCCATGTTCACTTCCTGGTTGATTTTACAGTTGCCATTCAGGATCCCAGGTAGAATACTTAGAATATCTAATAACTCAAATGTATGTTATGATGTAAAGATTATAATCTATAATTTTGTCACTCTATAAATATTTAAAAGCATTTATTGATAGTAAAACAATTGATAGAAGATGTCAAATGTATTTTGCTTTAAAAATAAAATATAATTTATCTTGATATGTAGAGAAGTGCTTGGGTCAACCTTGCTTGAATGATCCATATCCCTTGGTTGGTTTTCAGATATGGAGTTGAACCACCAGTATTAGTAAAACTTGAGAAGGAAATTGAGTTAGAAGAGACCTTACTTAATACCTCTGGACCTGAAGATTCCATCAGTATCCCAAAGTCATGCTGTCAACATGAAGAGCTACATGAAGCCGTAAGTAATTGCCCCTTTAAAAATTTTTTTATTATAATACATTGAATAGTTGCATACACTTCTAGTTTGCTACAGGTGATGCCGTGTTGGAAAGAAAGTATTCTTTATTCAGAATATACAGCAGTAATAATCTCCACTCCCTGGTGAGTTTAGAGCTCTCTATTTGGAAGGCGATTTGTCGGTTGCGTGTGATGATGAGGAGATATGTGGTTGAGGAGTGGTGAGGCATACTGGCTGGAACCCATTGGGAAGGGTACTGTAAGTCATGAGTATGCACTGATTTTTTGTTTTAACATGATAGTATAATAATCTGATTTGGAAAGTGTAAGATTATTCTCATGGTCATGTAGGGGTTATATTGGTGTAGTCCAGGCATAAGATGATAAGAGCTTGCACTTGAGCAGCAGCAGTGGTGATAGAACAGAAGGAACAAATGCAAGACATAGTTAGATGTAGGGAGAAAATCTAGGTTGATTTCCAAGATTTCTAAGTAGATGCGATACATGATGTTTGGAGAATATAGGAGGAAGAAAAGTTGTGAGGGAAAATTATTATTTTTTTCTTTTTTTTGAAACATTCTCCCCTGGCCCAATATATGCAGCCTTGTTAAATGGTATAGAAAGTCTTCTTAACTTTGAGTTTGATTTTCTTAACTTTCAAGTAACATTGCATTGAAACTTTAACCAAAATACTTTTACAAGAAATTTTGTTATTTATTTTAATCTTAGGTTAAACATATTGCTGAAGATCCTCCTTGTAGTTGTTCTCATCGATTTTCTATTGAGTACTTATCGGAAGGACGGTACCGACTAGGGGATAAAATTCTCTTTATAAGAGTAAGTCTGTTATCTACATTCTGTTTACACACAGATCTTGTCTTAAGATTTAGATTACTGCTTTACCCACTTCACTAAAAGAAAGTATGGGGATATAATGAATTTAACATGTGGAAATGTTTTTAACAGTTTAGATAACAACTAACTATAGGATAGCTAAGAATATTTATTTATTTATTTATTTATTTATTTATTTGTTTTTTGCTATAACTTTCAAGTAACATTGCATTGAAACTTTAACCAAAATACTTTTACAAGAAATTTTGTTATTTATTTTAATCTTAGGTTAAACATATTGCTGAAGATCCTCCTTGTAGTTGTTCTCATCGATTTTCTATTGAGTACTTATCGGAAGGACGGTACCGACTAGGGGATAAAATTCTCTTTATAAGAGTAAGTCTGTTATCTACATTCTGTTTACACACAGATCTTGTCTTAAGATTTAGATTACTGCTTTACCCACTTCACTAAAAGAAAGTATGGGGATATAATGAATTTAACATGTGGAAATGTTTTTAACAGTTTAGATAACAACTAACTATAGGATAGCTAAGAATATTTATTTATTTATTTATTTATTTATTTGGTTTTTGCTATAGGGCATGTGCGCTCGCCAGAAAGACAGAGACAGACAGAGAGACAGAAAGTGAAAAATCACCCCCCAGGGGAAGATGTCCACACTGCAGTCCCTTTTCCTCCATTCTCTTCTTGGGATCTTGGGCATGCATGAACATGTGCCCAGCATGAGTTTAAGCCACCAGGTTCAGAACTCGAACCATGGTTGACTACATAGGAGTCCAGCGACATTGCCATTACGCCAACTGCTGGTCCCAAGACTATTTAGAGAATGAGCGTAACTGGAAAAAAAATCTTTGTACATCTCAGGTAATTTAATCTATTAAAATTTTTTTCTAAAGAAAAATGTTATTTTGTATTATCATCATCAAAAAAAATCTAATAAGATCAAGTGTTCCTAGTAAGAAAAAGAAAAAAGAAACATTGCAACTTATGACAGTACACTCTTTGGGCCTTAAACATAAAGTATTTCTCAGATTGATACCACATTACTGTGTATACCAGTGCTCATGGCCACATTCATTGCCTTCCTTTGTCTCATTTGCACTTGATTAGTTGTGCCCTTTGCTGATAAAGAGATTGAAGTTTCAGCTGTTCAGCATTCATTCCACTTTTGATATAATACAGGAGATATTTTATTCTCAATTTAGAGACATAGTAGGAACATTTTTAAAAATTGTAATTTCACCCTCCGTATCTTCTTCTATTTCTATAATATCATCACCTCCCACATCCTCCCCTACTCACACAGACACACTCATATTTACTTCCTACCTTTTCATTAGGATTTTTTTGAAAGGTTTTGTGATATGGCGATGGGGCACAGAGCATGGAAGTTGGAGTTAAGGTTTGCAGACAGTCTTGTACAGTCCGGAAGATTTGCCTGTCAGGTGGGCAGGGGCCTGAAATCCAGTTTGGACTGTACTGGCAGAGCCAGGATGTGTTTTATATCTACAAAAGAACCATCTGGGTTATGAGCAGCCCGGTGCATTTGAGGACAGGCCAAGCTGTGTGACTTGGGACAAATTCCCTAATCTTTCAGAATCATTGTTTTCTCATCTGCAAAGAAGTAGTAATAATACATTATATCCAAGTGTTTTAAAAATCAAATGGACATAATGCACATGAAAATAATTTGTTAATTATAAAGCATATGGTTTGGTTGCTTTTATCTTTATCCCATAATTTTATTTTATTTATTATGAGGCATTTTTTTCTTTTTAAAAATTATTATTCAATTTTATTTATTATAATTTTTAAATTTGCTATAGGACACATGCACTACACTCACCAGAGAGAGAGAGAGAGAAAAAAAAAAATGAGAAAGCAAGCTGTGAGGTCCAGGACTTGAACTACACAGTCAGCCATGTGCGAGTCCAGTACCTCAACCACCATACTACCTGCAGGCCCCATTTCTAAATCCTCATTTCTTCTCCCCTTCCTTCCTGCTCATCTCCCCTTCCATCAGTTCCCAACTCTTCAATGAACAATTTTTCTCTTGCAGCTTTGTATATTAATAACTAAAATTTTTAGGATGAAAGTTATATGTAAATCTCTTTTTTATAGTTTGTAAGACTTTGTATTTCTAGTTGCATAATTCAGTGCAAATTACGTTTGTCATATTAATAATGTAAGAAAGAGATTGTCGATTTGTAGTGAAGCTATTGGCAAATGCTCTGAATTTCATGGATCCTGGTGCACGCTATGACCGCTAACGAACTGTAACCGTAAACCTCACAGTTTTAGAGCTTTATTTTTTTACTTTCTTCTGGGGAACAGATGCTTCATGGAAAACATGTCATGGTCCGTGTTGGTGGAGGCTGGGATACTCTTCAAGGATTTTTGCTTAAATATGATCCCTGTCGAATATTACAGTTTGCCACACTGGAACAAAAAATTCTAGCCTTTCAGAAAGGAGTTTCCAATGAGAGCGTGCCCGATTTTCCCAGCAGAACACCTCAGCCTCCCGAAATGAATCCTCTGTCAGCAGTTCACATGTTTCAGAAACAAAATCCCAAACCTGGCACAGCAGCTGATATCTCACGGAGCAAAGGAAAGCAGGTGCGACCACAGGGGGTGCCGCTGCCAGCGTCTTCACTGAATGGGGAGAATCTGGACTCCGTGACGGTCCGCTCTAAATTTCCAAATCCCCCAGCAGCATCCTCTCCTCTCAAGCTCAAGTCTTCAAAAGGCATAACAAAGAAACCACATGCTCCTTCAAAAAATGTATCATCTTCACTTGCTTTAAATCCAGTAGGTAAAAGTACTTCTTCACCAGCTTTATCAAGAACCGCACCTTGTGTATCTGGGTCTTTGAGAAAATGTAATGCTTCTCCCAAAACTCCTAAAGCCAAGGTTCTTCCAGCCCATAATTCAGTAGGTCGGCCCGAGACTACCCTTTTGCCAAAAACGTGCTCTGGAAAAACTGAACCAAAGTATTTGAAACATAATCGTACTTCTCCCAGGGATGATGCAGTGCTTCACTCAGCTGTACATTTAAATTCATCATCAAAGTGTCCAAAGCAACCTAAAACAAATACACGTGTTAGGCCTCAACCTTCGCCTTCTTCCCAGTCCCCTGCAACAGTGACAAAACCCAGTTCCAAAACTGCAGGTCTAAGAATGCAGTCTAAACCATCTGAGAGAGCCCCACAAGCAGTGACAGTCCCAACACAGAAACTTAGATCCCCCTTGAATTTAAATCAGCCCGTTTCTGCACCCTCAGTTTCTCCTCCAAAAGCTACTCCAAAATTGAAAGATAAAACTACGGTTTCATTTGCCAAAAAGCAGCCTCAGAATAAAAGTTCTGCATGCCAGAAGACAGGATCCAGCTCCTCAAAGTCCCCTGGCCGTACCCCACTGTCCATCATGAGTCTTCCTCAGTCTTCCGCCAAAACACAGACTGCTCTGAAGTCAGCACAGATGGCCAGCAAAGGCCAGCATGGTGCTCGAGGGCTGCCAAGGAATGGCAAAGCCCCAGCTGCAACCAGGAAGCCACCCTCGTCTGCTAAGGAAGCAGATAGCGGAGATAAAGCTGCTGCTAAGAAAAAGGAGGATGATGACCATTACTTTGTTATGACTGGAAGTAAGAAACCTAGAAAATAAATACCTGTGCATTATGTTAAGAAGAGAGGAGAAAGGAGCAGAGTGTGTGCATCACCTTCACATCTTTACAGTGTCTCCTGTTGGTGTTTGTCTGAAGACGTGTAGACTGATGTCAACAAGCACAAGACGGGGGTGGAGGTGGGACAGCAGAGGGTACGCCAGAACTCACCTGTCTGAATGTACCAGTGGCTACGCGTCTGAGGCAAACAGTCACCACAGGTGCTTATTAGTAGTAGTCGTGTATGATCTTCAACGTCCAGTTATTTGCTCTTTAAGGGAAGTATCAAAGTCAAATAACACTACTAGATTATATAGTTGCTTTATGTTTGAATATATATTAAATATGAAGGTTATATACTTGCTAATAGAAACTTGCTCTTCAAATTAGTTATTACATTTTAGTAGGAAAGAAATGGTTTGGCACTTAGCCTATAAAAGGCAACTAATTTGATTTCTGGACAAGGATTGCATGATCCAACAACACTAAATACCAAAGGCTGCTGCTGATTAGCTTAGCATTATTCTGGGTTGGGGGAATTCTCTCTCTCTCTCTCTTTTTTTTTTTTTTTGTAGAGAGATTTTTTGCTATAGAGTACATGCACTCACTGAAGAGACAGAGATACAGAGGTGAGAAATTACCTGCTGGGGGGAAGGCTATGCTGTAGTCCCTTGTCCTCCATTTTCCTCTTGGGATTTTGGGCAATTATGCACACACAACTGGCATTAAGTTCTAAGCTACCAGGTCTGGGGCTTGAACCCTGGTTGACCATGTGGGAGTCCATTGCCCCTACCATTGTGCTACCTGCTGGCCCCAGATTAGGTGGAATTCTTACTACTTATTTTTTGTAAAGCTTTTGAAATCAGAAAAAACTGATTTTTTAAAAAACCTGGCTTATATTAACAGGTGATGTTTTGTTACCAGTATTTTGGTTAAAAAAAAACCAAAAAACAAAAACAAAGTAACTTATTAAATCATAAACTGAAATTTGGTAAAAGCAAAACCAGATTCTTTCATATGTTATGTATAACATATTCTTTCATATGTTATGTTGTGTTTTAGATGGATGCTGTGCAATGTGATGGGGAAACAGATTTGTAGCTCTTATATTACAAATACTTTTAATAATGTAATTTCCTATGAGTTCAGACACGAATTTTTTACATTAAAATGTTTTAACATCAGAATTATGTTTTAACAAACTGAAGATGATATTTAAAGACTCTTAGAGCATTGCTATATGAGGTAATAGTTATTTTTTCTTTTGATAGCAAAACAATACTATTTTTTAAAAATAATTGCCAAAGGGTGTATATACTCACCAGAGAGAGAGAGAGAGAGAGAAAGAGAGAGAGAGAAAGAGAAGGAGGGAGGAAGGAAGGGAGGAAGGGTGGGAGGGGAGGAGCAAGCGCCTCCCAGTGGGGCATGGTCACGCCACAATCCCTTCTGTGCCATTTCTCTACGTTGTTGGGATCTAGGGCACGCATGCACATGTGCCTGGTGTGTTTTCAAGCCATCAGGGCCAAGTTTCAAATTGGTTAGCTATGAGAGATCCGGTTCCCTTAATCAGTAGGCTAGCAAGCATTTTAATTAGATTCTTCCAATCATGTTAATTTTTTATAAAGTTATGTGACTTTCAGTTTTCCAGTGGGAAGTGGGCAGCATATATGCAACGGTTTCTGTTCGGAGTCCCTTAAGTAACATATCCAGATTATTTAATGACTGCAGAGTCCATCAATCTAGGATGATACTTGTAGATAACTTATTTTTTAATAGATTGGAATTATTTAAAATTATTAATGTACTCTGAGAAGTTTTAAGGGTGTTTTTCAATAACTTTGCAGTATTATCTGTTATTACAGGTTAGTCTACATTTAGGTTTGTTGTTCTGTTTTAAACTATAATGTGTTTTCTAAAGAAAAAGCAATAGTTTACACACATGTACAATCAGAATAAAAATCTTACATTGGCTATTAATGTTCTATAAAGTATGAAGCAAGAAGCCTTTGTAAAAACCTAAGTGATCTTTTGCCTGAGGAATACAGTTAAAATCCAAGATCTATGCAGGGTAGTTTTTGAGTCTTTGGTGCGTCTCATCTTAAAAGAGATCGTCACCAAATACTTGGCTAGGTTCTACTACTGTTCTTGGCGTTGAGAGAATATTTATGCTTTTGGAAAGCAAAGTCATTGTTTAAGAAGTGCTATAAGCTTTATGTTCTTTAGTGATCAGAAATACTAAATGCATCTTTCAGAGAGGAAAAATTTTACAGTTTCAAGGAGTTTATCCCCTTATAAAACCAAGCAATACTCTGTATCTTAACTTTCAGAACTTAAAAAAAAAAAAATGAAATGGTATTATAGCCAACCTATGAATCTAAGTAGATTTTACAACATGTAAACACTAACTTTTGGGTTGAGAGTAATCAGAAATAAAAGTATCCCACAAGCGTCTGGCAGAAATTTTAGAACTAACCAAATAACTGTTTGAAAAACTGGAAGTTAATTTATAAAGAGCTCTATTCTTCAGCAGTAGGGACTTCCAATTATATGCACATTGAATGAATTTTTATTTATAGATAGCTTATTTTTCCAGGCTAAAGGTGTTGTCTAGATAAACAATGCCTGAGAGATAGTTTCTTTAAATATATTTTGAAATTCTCCTAAAGAGCAAGTGTTTCTGATCACTTTCACAATTTAAGACATCTGTTACATTGTTAAATTTGGAAAAAAAAAGTTTCATTTTGTATTAATAGTGCAAGGGTTTATGTTTTTTTTTCATGTATTTAATATTTAATAAAACATGTATTAAGTTTAAATTACTGAAGTAAGTGGAAGAAAAATAATGTGTGCTTTCCCCCCAAAAAAAATACTGTTTTATTTTCTTTGCTATAATTCATTAATGTAACTAATATATAAGCTTCAGAAGAAAATGAAATGCTGATTATTTTATATTGTTTGGGCTTCAAGTAGGTCTTTACGCTTATATTTTCTAAACGTCTTGATTAATTCATTGACCTCTAACTTTACTCTCCATCTTGAGTTTATATTTCTTAGTAAGGGACTTTTCCTGAGGAAAAATTAGTGTTCTTTCTGCAGTTTTTAAAAAATTTATGTCTGATTTACAATCCATTGCCTTCGATAATAGGTTGTTGTATTATATTCTTACATCCAGTTTCACATACTGATCCCACTTGAATCCACGTTTGTGTATGTTCTTTTCTTATGCCAACAATATTTGTATCAGATTTTAACTTATATTTTCTCAAGTATTAAAATCTAAACATATATACCAAGGACTCCTTTTGCTTGCTTGGCGTATTCTGAGTACATTCTGATCATGTGTGAAAAGTTACATATACTAAGCATTCCTAACTTGAGAATAGTTTTAATTATATTGCTATTTAAAACGCCCTTTCGATACTCGTGGCTTTTATTTCAGCACTCCCTGGAGATGATAAAGCCTTGCTATTAAGCCACAGTGTTCGTCTCCCAAGTTGCTGTATCTACTAGAAGTTTGTTCAGAAAGACCATCATGATTAATAATCTTTAACAGAACACAAATAATTTATTAGTTATTAGAATTTTATAGATAACACAATCATTGTGTTTCTAGAAGTCTAGTCATTATAGGAATTTTCTTTTTTTATTTTTAATTTGCCAGAGGGCCTATGTGCATGCTGGAGAGAGAGACAGAGCAAGTGAGAAAGGGAGAAAACACCCCTTATGGGGCATAGTTACACTGCAGTCCTTTCTTCCTCTTGAGATTTTGGGCACTCATGCACATGCACACACACACACACACACACACACACACACACCTGCCATATTCTTCAAGCCACTGGGTCCGGGACCTGAACTGTGCAGGTAGTCATGAGGGACCCAGCTGCCTTAACCATGAAGACAAGCTATCTCCCTGGCCACAGTGCAGTATAACACCAATTTATTCAGTTGCTCACTTAGCAACCAACTCTTCTGAATGGCTTTTCTGACACTTAGTGTCCACTCAGACACCAAGGTAGGTAGGTGTGAGGGATTCAGCGATGAGATCAATTACTGCCCTAAAGGAAATGACAGTGTTCCCTCAAGTGCTTTTTAAAAAAAGGACAATGTTCTTTTTGACTGTAGCCCACTCAGTTCTTGGTTTGTGATTTATTTTACTCATGGGATAAGATACTTTCATGAGAACAGTTAATGTTTTCTCATATTGCTTCAGATCAGGAACCCATTTAAAAGAAAATGAAAGAAATAAAGAGAAAGAAGAACCTGATATTTGTGTCTGAGCCTCAAGAACAAGAGTCATTTATCACTAAGAATTGCTACACAGAAAATAGGACAGTGAAAATTAAGTGCAAACACTGATTGGAAGCAGAAAGGAATCAGAGCTTTCTCTGGGGAAGCCATTAGTTTAAAAGTCAAGAAACACACATCTGTCATACAGGGATGCTTCTCTAAGTCTATACACTGTTTCCTGTGACACTAGAGACTGAGTCTCCCCATGCCCTCTCCACTAAGCTGTGGTTGGTCTTACCACATGACCTATGATAGTGAAGATGGAGTCCACACAGAAGGCTGGTCAGCCACTTTAGTTACGTCGGAGAAGCCCAGCACTGAGCAGATGCTCCTTGTGATTTGACGTCTCAGTGCCGTATCCTGCTTCCCAGCGGAGAACAGAGGAAACTTTCCTGTGAAATACATGGCTATGAATCACGGAATAGTACTTTCTGGGCCTTTGCGTCTTCCTGGCTAGCTCAGAGGACTTGTAGTCATCCTGGTGAGACCTGTGTGTGAAATGAAAGCCCTCTTGGTTGTAAGAAACAGAGGTTTACTTCAGCTTGCTCCAATATTACATTGTTTTATGGATGCATACAACAGGTATCTTGCAGTAACCCAGAAATTTCTTATACCAGCCTCCACAGGAGTTGGAATTAAAGAATTATTCAGAAGCCTTGGGGGCTGTAGAAACAGGTTCTTATCTCCCCACTGCAACCTGAGTTCCCACCTTTCTCTCTGGGCTCTGCCATGAATATACTATTGCTCGCCTCTAAGATTCTGCTCCTCTGTGTGTGCTTTTCCGCATCTTCTTAAAACAAAACTATATGATACCATTTGTCAGTTTAAGGTCTCAAGAGAAAACCTGGTAGGCTTATAATTATCATTGTTCCTTTTGGAACAGAGCTTTTTGTTCCAGCCCCTGCATAGGTCATCAGTCAACCAATGAACAGGCTGCCCTTAGCTCATAGACCCATCTCCCTTGACCAATCAGTGTGTGAAGAGATAGGTCACATGGTCTTGAGCATGGCTACCTCAGAGCAGGAATAGTTTGGTTTGTCCTGGAAGAAGCTACAGCCCGGCAATTTTCCTTAAATGGCTGGCCATAACTAACACTCTTGAAAAACAAATACAGAATTTGGTTGAATTTGGTCTGAACTCCCTGGGAGTTCTTTTATATCAAGGAGCCATCAATTTCCAGCATTGACCTTTTAGGTCCTTAAAGCCAATATAATGCCAATGTATCCCCAAGACCTTCTCAAATCCAAACCTGCACTTTTGGTGGCTGAAAATGCC